GAACATCCTAAGGGATTTCTACTAATAAAAACACTTATTTTGGGGTAAATGGATTTCACCCTTTGCCTTTGATGAATCAGACTGGAAATAATTACCTCTCATCACTGACCACAAGAAGAGTCTTGGTAAGTGGTTTATACTGATACGTAATGCTGGAAAGCAAGCTAGGTGAATGGAGTCCACTAGTTCATTTAAAGGAAAGAAGGTGAAAGAATATAATACCACTACAGATGGCAGAAGAAAGCTGTTAAAAGAAAAGCTCCGCAGAGCAGCAGAGACATTTGGGGAAAAGACAAGAAATTAGAGCGTGAGGAAAGACAACAGGAGTTTGGCCTGGATGTCAGCATAGATTAAAAAGTGGTTGAGAGTTAAGGAAGATTTAGCACTGGTACACATTAAGAATGTCTTTAGAACATCAAAATATAAAAGAATAAAAAAAATCAGTATTTGCAAAGTTTTTTCCAGTTCCAGTCCCTCACTCCAAAGTAATCTGTCACAAGGCAAGGAACTGGTTGCAGGAGAAAGAAACTGCAAGTGATCTGTCCTGGTGCCAGTCCCACTGTGCGTCATGCTGAAGGACAAAGACTGGGAGATGTGTTATGCCTAACTGAAACAGACAGATTCAACACAACGTGTAGAGATGGAAAAAGCATCATAGAAATTTATGATCAAATTCACAGGAAGTTGATGATTAAGAATCATCTAGATGATAAAGTCATACTGATACTTGTTTCTTGAAGAAGAGCACATTAAAACTGCATGTGGAAAAAGTCCCTGGAAGGTCCCCTTAATTGCCCATTAATTAAAGTTGCAGAAATAAGCGCAAAACTGAGACATGGCAAATCTCAGTGTTACACACTGATACGCTGATGGTGTAACACAGTTGCAAAAGACCCAAGTTAGCTCCTAAGAGATGGACAGTTACTGCAGGATATGAAAGTACTCAAGAGCAGATAGAAAGGTGTACTTACATGTCAGTACTTCTAGCATATACTGTTATGAAAGACAAAGGTGGTCAAATTCAGCAATGCGGCTACGCTTAACTAATATACTTTGCTTTTTGATGGTGAACTGATGAGCAAGCAGGAAGAGTTGAATATACAACAATTCTTCAGGTAAGCAAGACGCTAGGATAAACATGCTATTCCTGCCAATCAAAAGACTTTCCTACCTTAAAACTTAGAAATGCTGATCCCATTGAAGTCAGCCGCAATATTCTTAGAAACAAACTGGGTCAGATTTTTACTTTTCCAGTCTGTAGCTGTACATCTCTTCAGGTAACACCTGAAATAGCACCAGCTATATTCAAAACATTAATGGCTGTTTTTTACTGAGAGGAGGAAAGTCCTTGGCAGAGACCTATTTTATGGGTGTTTTGTAGTCTTTTACGATGCTCTCATGAAAAGTACTTCTAACTAAAAAAAAGATACTGCAGCGGGTCCAAAAAGCAATGCTGATTGTAAGATCAGGGAAGGAGGTGTTAACGGGGGAAGAGACTTCATATCTGTGAGATGCACAGGAAAGCATTTTCTTAAACTTCACATGTCCAAATTCTCCTAAAAACTATCACTGCAGTTCAAAGATGATCTCTTATAGATGTATTACAGAAGTTTAACTTTATTCTAGACTTTAGTTCTCCTCTAATAAAACAACCAATAATGTTGTATTAGCAAAGTGCTTTGAACAGAGTAAGTTAAATTGATTTTGTTATGGGTTATGCAATGTCCTTGAGACTCTTCATTAAGGCTTAGCTGTAGCTCAGCTTGATGACCGGTAGTTCTTCCTGGCTTAATGTCCTGCACCCTGCAACCTTTCCAGAGAGCTCTGCTCCCTAGGTGGAGAGGGCTGCAGAGAGAGGCAAAATCAATCCTGCCTTTTAGAAATAAGTATAATAAAAACCATGAGAGACCATTTTTGCAGGATGGTCTATGATGTAATGGTGGAAGTGATGGAGCATGCGAGTTGAGTGAGTGCTGGATTTAAGGCTGACTGCCCATTACAGCAGATGCACCAAGATACTTGCTTCTTTTACATTCCCTTCAACACTGCACTGGAACAACACAGCAAACATCGAATGCCTGAGATCCATCAGAGCCAATATCTGCTGACTTTGCAAGGACAGTACAAGGCTCCTCTCTCTAGTAAGTGGATTGAGAGCTGTTGGCAAGGTGAAGTCTGAAGGCTATGGGGAATTTCAGACTTCTTAACCCCGGGAGAGGGAAAAACTAAAAATCATTGACAGCTACAATTTAAACAGCACCGAAATAAGTCAAACTCATCATCTCTATTTAAAGAAGGAAAGAAGGATTAGAACTGATTTTTATATTTATATATAATTTATATAAGTCAGAATATCACCAGAAAAGAATCCAGTTTAATTACTGCTGTTCTCATTAGCATACGTTCCAAATGAAAGTAAAAATTGGAGGTGAACTCCTATTTGTGTGGTATGTACTTGTATTTAAAAATCTGATTCCATATGTAAGGGAGGCTGGAAGCAACCCAAGCAATGTACTCTTCCTGAAAAACTTACAGTGGTAAATATTATGCAGTGGGCAGGGATGCTCTTCCTGTTCTGTCTGTGAATGCTAATAAAGGTAAACATAGGGTCATGCACCTATGTCAAAAAAAGGGAAAAAAACGAAGAAACAAACTGAGTCATACTCTAAAATGCAACATCCTCTGAATTATCTAGTTAATCTGGTGTTTGATTTTTTCTTTTAGGGCTTAAAGCAGAGGAAATTCCTTCCAGTTGCTTTACAAAATGCTAACTGGGCCATTAATGATTAACAAATAAATAATACTGTCTACAGTTATCTTTCTTCTTCTGAAGACACTCCCTCTCTCTGTAAATCTGCCATGTTACTTCTGATGGGAGTGCTGATAAATGAAATCAGATGCAAATTTTAAATATTAGTTTGAAGCGAATGAATGAAATTGCTGTCATTCAGTGTAAGACCTCTGAGTATACCTGTGACAATCTGGAACTTGAGATAGCTTACGGCTTGAAGTCCTTGGGGTTCAACGCCACAGTTCACAAGAGCCTCAAATAAAGTAATAAAAGATGCTGCCTGGTATGACTTTTTTACACCCATCATGATGTACACTTTAAAAATGTTTGGCTTTCATCTATTATTTAATAATCTTTACTACTGTTCGGGGAGATGTTAGACAAATAGGTTTTTGTTGTCTTTTTATCTTTCCGTTTTTTTTTTTTTTTTTCTTGAGAAAGCAAATGGAGTCTCTTTATGCCATTAACCAAAGTGACTTCTAAACAAAGAGGCAATTTAACAGCATCCCCACGGCATTACATTCCAACTTAACCCTGTGAAGACTGTGCAGTGTGAAAACCCAGATGATCAAATAACTGTTACTTTACTGGGATTCTAGTAAACAATTTGGTAGTTTTACAGACATGAAATATCACATTTTTTTGCAATAACATTATTCAAGAATATAATTTCAGCAGTAAAGAGCCCTTGTAACAGTCTTTCTACCCAGCTTGTACCTCTGATTGATTTCTTTATTTTACATAACGTTCATTTAGTGGAAGTGAATGATGTGCACTGTCAGAATGGTAGTGTAAACCAGAGCTTTTCCAGGATAGGAAGTAAAGTGTAACATCAAATGAATATGAGGAGTGGAACGGCTGCTGCATAGAGTGGCTGGGTTGTTTTCATTCACTGCATTTTTTAGAAGCTACTTATTAATTTTCTGTTAAACTGCCTGCTTCAGTATTTGCTACTTTCACAGTTGGGTGTGTTAGTGATTGCACCCCAAACCCCATCTCTCAAACATAACAGGTTTTTGTTACATCAAGTAAAACAAAAGTACCATATAATTCAGTCTGCTCACTGTTCTCTGTCAGAGCATTCAATATATGCAGAAAAACTCTATATGGTCGTGAGGTAAGAAAGAAACAAAGGTTTAATCTCACCCTGAAGTCATCCTAATTCTTCTCTGCTTGCTTGGGCAAAGTTACTATATTTATTCTTTTTCTAGAATAAGCACATTTTTGCCCTTTTCAGCAAAGACACTTATTTTTTAACAGATACTGCTCTTTTCAGCCTTACATTTGCCAGAAGCTATAGTTGATCATGTCAGTGTTTAGGAAAAAATAATGTACACAAACTTTATTCTTATCATCTGTTTACGCTTCATGAGATTGTCATAAAATCTAGCATGAAATAAGGGACTTAAAATAAAAGTGACATAGCCAATAGTTATTTTTACCTACTAGTAGTCAGAATAATGGCTAACACTCCAAACTGTTTGAGGCAGTTCTTAAAGCAAACATGAATGCTACTGCTTCCTCTTTAAGTACTGTTGTGCAGATGATTGCACTGGCTTTTCCTTTCACTTTTTTATGAAACATGAGATAACTCACTCATTTGCTCTATTTTTATTCTGATAATGTGTATTAATGACTGCACTTAGCAAAGAAGGAACTTTCATATCCATTCATTCAGTGAGTTGGCTAATTAACAACAGTAGCAATAGGTACATACACCATACCAGGAAAATGTTTCTACATGTTCTACATCAATTCTCCTCATTGTCCATTTATCCCTTTTATTATTTCTAAATATATCATGGTCTCCGTCTACTATTCAATGTGTAGAATTCAGCTTTTCTATCTTTCTTCCCTTAAATTGGCAAAACTTAACCCTATCCCTCTCTGTCCACAGAAGGAAGACTCCAGTGACCGCACAACTCAGCACAGCAGAAAAGCTCTGCTTTGAAAAGAAGACAGAATGGCTCTACTTGCTGTTAACAAAATGCTAATATCCAGTAACCAATTAAAAAAAACCAACACAACAGTATACTTCAATGATGTAAATCAGTAATGTAAGAATTGTCTCTTGTCTCTTGGGAGCCTTGACAAGCCATAACGTCAATGGAGTTTTAGAGTAGAGAAGTGCTCAACTCAACCATACAAACCATCTCACCACCCAGTTAAATATACTATATCTACTAGAAAGAAAAGAAATAACACTCACTCAATAAAGTAGACTTCCCCTTTTTCTGTATAAGCCATTTCCCAGTTATCAGGCAGTGGGCCCAAGTCATCATTCTCTTCAGGCTTTGTTTGTTTTGTTACATCCATATCCTCCTTTGCTTCTTCAGGCTGAGTATATCCTGGTGCAGGGCATGGTTGTGTAGAAGATACTTCACCTGAGACACCTGTGCTCTTGTCTTCATGTTCGCTTGATTCTACAAGAGAAGAAGAATTACAGTTTTTGGATATTTAAATTAATGATGGATGATATGCTGGGTGCAAGTCTTCAACAAACATTCTTCGAACTGTAAGTCTTTAAAAAAAAGAGAGAAATTATTGGATTTACACAGCAGTCCCTCTGATGATACATTTTTTATCTGGAACACAATAAAAGAAAGTAAAGCAATAAAAACAAACTGAAACAAGAAACTAATAAAGAGCTAAGAAATGAGCCAAAGAGTTCTTGCTTGTTTTGTCCCAGGAGTCCTTCCTTCAGCAGTTAACACTGAGCAAAACGCAGCCTCATATCCAGCAGCAATACTGTCTTGTGCCTCATAACTTTTCAGAATACACATCCATCAAGCAAATACCCTGTTTTGCTGCAGAAAACAGATCATTTTCAATTAAAAAAGTAAACACACGCATAATATCCATAGGTAAAGAAAACAATATGACATTTATGAATTCACAGCTATATCTAAGCCATATATAAAGCGGTTGTGATTTCAATCCCAATATAATCTATGGGAGGCTTAATTTTCCACAATGACAAATGCCTCCTATACCCAATGTAATTCTGTGTCATCGTGACCCAGAACATATTGAGGAAAGAGTCTTCCTTTCCTAACCTTTTTTCAGTGCTTGGTCTTTTACTGTTCACTGATATTACTTTATTTATCTCACTACTGCTAACTCCAAGAAAGGATGCTTGAGATAACTTGTCCTACTAAAGTGATTTCCTCATCCTTGGGGATGAATACACTTGGCTGACTGGTCCAGTAGGCATGTGTTTGTATCATTTGGTCTATCTACCTATCATTTCCTCCAAAAATGGGATGGGAACCTGTAGCTTCAATGAGAGAGGCTCTCATCCTTGGACCCTGGATCCTTGTTTTCTGCTGCACTTAAATGGAGCTTGATCATACTGAAGCAGAAAAGACCCCTGTATTTGATCAAATGAACTACAGCTAAAATAAGTTCATATTTTGAATGTATTTGCTGAATCTCCGCTGACTGTGATTCAATTGGCTGAAATGACCCTACATATTGAGATGAGTGGGCTGGCTGATGGATGACTGCACTCTCACCTCACCTCCTCAGCAACACAAAGAGAAGAAAATACAATGAAAAAATGCTAGGGTCGAAAAAAGGAGATGAACAATGCTCACCAATTGCTCACTATCACAGAATTGTACAAAAGGCTAAAAAGAAAATGAAATCGTTCAGCATGAACACTTAAAAAAAACACACAGGCATGTAACAGTAAAACAGAGCAAGCAGCCTAGAAAATGGGATATGGCCAGGAACATGAAAAGTAACAAGAAAACTTTCTGTAAGTACATTAATAATACGAAGACTAAAAGCAGATTCATTCCAATACGTGGGAAGGAAAGCTAATAACATATGACAAATATAAAACCACAAGGCACTTAGTGCTCATTTTGCCTCAGTCACTACTGCAAAAAGATTACCTATGATTAAATGACTAACATAATTAACGTCAGCAGTAGGGCTAAAGAAATCAGATTAAAATGGACAGAGAACGGGTCAGGTATAATTCAGATGAAGCAGCCATTTGCAATTGGCAGAGCCTGATGAAATGAAACCTAGGCTACTTCATGAACCAACGAAACAGACTCATGACCCGTAGTGAATGCACATTTTGAGATTCTACAGAGACAAAAAACTTCAGAAGGACAGAAAGTCTTGGTTTCTATATTTTAGGTTTCTAGATAGTTTAGTTTGTTAATTTCTGAGCACCTACTCTCCCTCCAAAACAATTAGGTCATTTTGTAAAAAGGAGAAGCACAGCTAATGAAACTGTAATCACAGAATCATAGAATTGCTCAGGTTGGAAAAGACCTTAAAGATCATTGAGTCCAACCATGACCTAACCATACTACCCTAACTAACAACCCTCTGCTAAATCACGTCCCCGAGCACCACATCTAAATGGCTTTTAAACACATCCAGGTATGGTGACTCAACCACCTCCCTGGGGAGCCTATTCCAGTGCTTAACAATTCTTTCAGTAAAGAAGTTTTTCCTGATATTCAACCTAAAAATTTCATGTCTATCTATTTTTAATTCCTAGAAGGACATTGGGACCAGCAGTCAAACCACCTGCACATAAGCTCTTCAAAGGAGGTGGTGAATAATTGTCAAGATTTAGCATGAAGGAATTGTGCCAAACTCTTTTATTATTTTTTTATTTTTTGACAGAGTACCAGATGTTGTTCCTTACAGAGAAATGGTAGACATAGCTATCATTATCTTAAAAAAAAAAAAAAAAAAAAGGCTTTACAGCCACATGCAGCTCATGCTGCTAAATGCTTGTATTTTAACTACTTGCTACTAGTATTTTATGCTGTTGGGAAATGTGAATCTGTCTGTGGGAACAAATGATTTAGCAAGAGGCACAAGTGCAAGTTGCGAGTTTTGCTTAACTGAATCCCACAAAAGAGCAGTAGGATCCCAGGGGAGATGCAGTCACCTGTTGCTTATGTACCACTCACAAACTTCCCCTTCTTTGGCTTTCCAAAGTCTGCTGCAAAATGCCACAATCAGCTGTAAAAATGGAGATGGGGAGCAAATGTCTAACAGTGAAAAGAGATTCCTAACAAAAATACAGCAGAGGTATAGGAATGTGTGAGAGATATCTATGCTATATATATATACTATTGACTAATAGTAATACTATTCCAAAAGGAAAGCAAGCATAGTAGTTAGGAGGAGTGAGAATATGCAATGTAGATCCTTCCATCTTCAGCTACAGGAGGTTTTCAGCAGAAGCACAGAGCCCATTTTCAAGAATTTAATGTCAATGGAGAATTTTTTTTATTTTTAATTTTGAACAGGTGGATATGGAGAGCATTTTGGTATTATGGAGGATAAATTATCTCTACACGCACTGAGAAAAGGATGATATAATTGCTGACAAATTCATCTCTATAAAGTAAAAGTGAATCTTCATCTGTTTTAAGTGTCATTGAGAGCACTATGAATTGTTCTCTACACAAGTCCTGACCACATTTCTACTGTGGGAATACTGCTGCACAGATTAAACGAGGTCAAGATATAAAGTCAGATAGCACACAGGACAACAGTAGAAAAAATAAACTTGGCGTATGGGTGCACTGTAAATAATAATGGCCAGCCCATTGGTCTGATAGGCATGGTGACATTGCTATGTCCTAGGATTTTAGCATGATATCTGTAATATGTGTTCTTTCTCAGGATCTTATTTTCCACAGGTCTGAAGAGGTCAGATTCTTAGCTTTTGATAGCTGTATTAACAAGCTGACGGAAAAAAAAATGTGAAAATTAAACTTTGAGGACTACAAGAAATATTTCCAGCCTGTCTCAGAGATTGCTATCAAAACAAAGTGGAAAAAGAGGAACCTGATGCTTATTTAACAATTAAAAATATAATTATGTTAAAACCAATCTTGTGACTTATTAATTTTTGGATCATTATTTTTAATAGTTTGTTTTAGTAATAAAGAAAAAAAGTATCTTGTAAAGAAAACCCAAACAATTACGGAAGAATTACTCAATGTCATTTAATAACATTTAGTTTTACACAGCGGATGTTCTAATTGTTGTTTATCTGGAATGCATTACAATGGTATTTCATCTTTTTCTACATGTATCTACCCTTCATATATTCCAGAAAGCGTACATATTCACCTTGCTGTTTTTTTTTTTCTTTTCTTTCTCCTGTTTATATATATTCTTACATAACATTTTATTTGATAAAAAAACAGAAGTCCTGGTTAAAAATTGGTAGTGCCTTAAATGTACAACTAAAGCTTGAAATAGTATGGTAATATGCTATGAGCACAAGTATCTATCATGAGATAACATCTGATACAAATACAAATCCTAACACATCCAGAAATACTTCTGTCACTGAAAAATACAGTTGACTTTTCATCAAGTGAAATCATCTACTGTCTCAACAAAACAGATTACATGGTCCAGTTTTCTAAAATAATTTAGCACAGTATCTCAGTGAATGTTCTGTGAAGTGGCAGAATAGGCACCAGCAAAGCACCAGCAAATTATTCCATGTGTAGAATATAAGAAACACTGGGGAAAAAAGTCACAGAATCGTAGAATGGTTTGGATTGGAAGGGACTTTTAACTTCATAACATTAAATACTCTAAGTCCATCTCTGTAGTATTTCAAATATCAGCAGTGACAAATTTTATTGGATGAGATGATATATTCTCTATACAGCTCTTACACAATATTTTGGCTATTTGTTGAACCTGAAGATACACAAGTGCATAGGATGTGATGAGATGAATCTGAGGGTCCTGAGGGTACTGATAAATGAAATCACTAAGTCACTAGTCACTAGCCATCATTCTTGAGAAGTCATGACAATCTGGAGACTGCCACTGACTGAAAGAGGGTAAACATAACTCCCATTTTTAAAAAGGTAAAAAAAAAAAAAGAGAGACATCTGAGACCTCTGAAACTAGAGTCCAGTCAGTGTCACCTCTGTGCCCAGCACGACCATGGAGTAGATCCTCCTGCAAGCTATACTAAGACACAAGGACAACAAAGAAGCAATTGCTGACAGCCAACACAGTTTCATTAAGGGCAAATCATTCCTGACAAACTTAGACTTAAAATATTAGAAGATAATGGAAGAGCAACTGAAGTTTTCTGCTTGGACCTGTACAAAGCACTGTCCTTCATGGCATTCTTATTTCTAAATTGGAGGACATAGATTTGATGGATGGACCACTTGTGAGATTAGGATTTGGTTTAATGGCCATGCTCCAAGAGTTGCAGTCTATGGCTTAATGTCGAGCTGGAGACTGGTGATAAGTGGGTTCAAGAATTGGTGGTATTGGGACTGGTACTGCTTAACATCTTTGTTGGTGGGACCTTAAAAGTCATCGAGTTCCAGCCATAAAGCCATGGACAGGGACAACCTCCATTCTATATCAGGTTGCTCAAAGCCCCATCCTACTTGGCCTTGGGACACCTCCAGGGATCCTGCTTCTTTGGCAATCTGTTCCATTGCCTCATCATCCTTTTAGGGAAAAAATTCTTCCTAACATCTAATCTAAATCTACCCTCTTTTAATGAGGGTATAAATCTTATGGTTCTTAAGTGTCTTCTATTTTATTTTCTTTCCTCTGGCTGCCATGGCTATGCAATAACAAAAGAACTAGCTTAAACTGTTCTCTAGGACTGCCACACCTTGTGTGGTGATTAACAACACTGGGATTTTAACCTTTTACTTCATTTTCAACCTAAGGCATGGAATGATCATTCTGAAACTCTATATCATGTCTTATCCTTCACTTAATTTCAGCCTGCCAGAACTTCCATTCTCTGGGCGCAACTTATCATTACCCAAGTAATGTCAGATTACTGTACATACATAAACATTCTTCTGACATTACACTGATTCTTTTGTAGTTTGGATGGTAAACACTTCATCAGTCAGAAGCGTGAAGCAAATATGACCAGCACTGATGATCATGACACTGGTTGGGAAGGAGACTGACCTAATTCTCTGCGGACACAACCACAACAGTAGTGAAATCTGAATGTCTGACTAGTAGGTTCCTGTTTGACTAAGCATCTTTTTATCACTATTGTCATGATACTTGCAAAAATCTTTGATTTCATTACAGTGTTCATCAGAAAAGCTTTTTCAGGTGCAAGATATCTCATCCAGACCAGTGAATGACAGAAACCTAACTCGGAACAACCAGATGTCCAGTAATTGCATTAGGAGTGGGAAATCCAGCACTAACTCAAGAGTTGGCCATTTCAACAGCTAAGTACAGATTACTTCTATCATTGCTGTTTTGTAAATAGTAGGATTTCTCATTTAAATTTAGCCACCCAGGCTCCTGTGTATCTGTAGACTGAACTAAACATCCTAGGTTGCAGAGGTAGTACCTAAAAGGAGCACCTGAAACATCTATGCTCTGTTAATCTTTCTCCCTTCTATCAAGAAAGAATAAATAGCTCTAGCAAAAAGTAAGACGTTTAGGTGCATCATTTACTATACGATCCATTTCTCATTAGATACTATTGTCTGCTGACAGTACTTGATCCAGGATGAAGGACTGAGATGTCATCTTAAGATGGCCAAACACCTCATCCTAAAGTTGGTTTCCTGTTGGGTTTTAGGATGAGGATAAGTGACAAAAATCAGAAAGAAAAAACACATTTCACAATGCAAGTTAACAAGAAGACAATTATGTATATGGACCAGTCTGTCTATGTACAGAAGTCCAAGGGAACTTTGGCCTGTAAGACAAGGTGTGAATGAAAAACTGAATCCTACTTATAAAACTCTACAGATGCATATATTATTGTCTCAACAAACACTGAAAAGTGGTCTGAAAAATCAGACTCAAGGCATAAAGATCTCTGCATCTACAGATGTTGCCTATTGGCCTGATAATAAACAGGTTTATTTCCTTTGGATTCATCTTAGATCTGCTACTGCTTCTGCCTTGCAGTCCTAGGTACTAGAGCAGGCCTTTGCCTGGGCAGCACTCTGATCACTTTGGCAGTTAATAAGATGTAAATAAGATGTAAAGTTGTTGAGTATTTGTAAAAAACGTATCAATGTCTCAGATGTCCTAATAGCTTTATATTTAATTTAAAAAATCTCCATTTAGAATAGAACTTACTTTCTAAACTAACTAAAATAACAAACATATTGCCCTAGTTGCTTCTTTCTAAGAACCAGATAAAATAAAAACAAAAACAAAAGCAAAAAAAACCCAAAACAAAAATTAACATGTTCTATTTTCCCTCAGTGTTCAAAGATACAGATGACAAATGCATGTACATTCTAGAGGCAGCTAAGGCTCTGACAGTTGACAGAGAAAATGACTGCAGTAACAGAGCCCATGGGAGCTACACACCCCAACAAAAGCAACGCAGCATGTATGTACAGAGCTGCTTTCTGCAATCCCCAAAGTCCTCAATCAGTGTGACTGAACAACAAAACCCTGCTTATGAGACCATGAGCACCAACACAGGCACTGCTTGTTCTGCTGGCCACACCTACAGGAATCACTTTGTGGGGGGTGAGGAGGGGGAGGAAAGAGGTTGTAACTCCAGTGCTTGTGTGTTTCGTTTTTTAACACAGCACATGCCAGTAGCTGCTTAATCATTGTTTTGGTCACACAGAATTTGCCTGGGAGATGCCAGTCAGTGGTGGACAGTGCAAGGAGAAAAGCAGGTAGACATCTCCCCTTGATCCATCTAGAACTGAATCACTGCACCAGAAATTACTCCTGAGCAATGGTAGGTTAAGTGGCATATTTCAAGTAACTGCAAAGAATGCTCTTCCTAATGATTTCCGCAATATACATCACATACCAAATCCTGCCTTTGCCTCTGTCGCTCTGAAAGTATCCTGGCAACAGAGCCAGTGCTGATGTTTTATGTAAGGATTTCTGGGCTTCACCCATTTCTGCTTAGCTGTATAGGAAAGGCACTAAGTGCCAGGGCATTACCAGCAGATGCGGGGAAGGGATGAACGAGGCTCAAACAGCAACGTGACAGGAACTCCAGGGTGTTATGTTGCAGCCCTCTGGTGTGCAGAATGAGGCCCACTCCCACCACACCACTACCTGCCAGCCCATTGGACACAGAGATGGATTTGGCACTTCCACATAATATTAATCAGCTACTACAGAAAAGCAAGTGGCAAACACATCTGTGGTGGAAGGATAACCAATTCAATATACTTTATAATGCAGAAGGAGAAGAAAAGAACACAGAATCTGCAGTATGAAAATCCTTTTTGCAGTGCTTAGGAGATTAGGTAGTGGATTTATTGTTTCAGATACCTATATGTTTATAGAACTCCTTATCTTCTTATATGTGTGGCTGTCATTACAGACTTCTATTTCAATCATTTATTCCTGAATTTCTAAGTTAACCAAGAATAATTCATAGTTATGTATTTCTCAGAGATATAAATGTCTGAATTCTTTAATTTCCTACTTGAAGAAAAAGTAATTTCTTACATGTTATTTCAGAATCAAAAGGATAAAGTACTTTGAAATGATGACTCGCTGCAGTATTGAAGGGGAAGCTGACTGGGAAAAGCCTGGACTTCTCTCACTCAAGATACCAGTCTGTATCTTCAGCTCCTTTTTTCTGAAGAATTATAATCCAAAAGGTAAAACAACAGTTGCCTTTAGGACTAGACATCTAAAACCCTTATCAGCTTTACGCAGCATCTGAAATGTTGCTGGAAAGGATCCTTCTTGATAGTGTTGCCTACTAAGTTTCATCAGCACTGTCACAAATTTATTAATGTGATGACAGCTTTACTCTTACATTGCAAAGATTTAATAACAATTTATAAAAGTTCCCTTTAAAATAATAATCTAGTTAACTCTGCAGTGAGTATCAGCTTCTGAGAGCAAGGAGACCTGAAGCACAGAGACAGGATTTGACCAAATTGCAGTTCTCTAGACTCCTTCTATGGTCGGTAAAGAGAAAAAGGTGCTTGGGTTTGATTTCCTAACAAACAAATCTAAAACAAATCACCAGAAGTGCAATCAGAAAGAAGATATTTTTCTCTTCAGACTGTAGGGTGGTGAGCTCACAGGCAGACCTGACTGTAGCTGAGGTGAGTCTCCAGAATGGAGGTGAGGCATTTTGTTTAATGTTTGACAGGAATTCTATCACTCAGAATTCCTGGCTTCCAGTCATGCAAGACTTACTTGAGCATTCATATTCTCATTGTAGGAGACAACTGGAAAATTTGTGAATAACAGAAATGCACTGCAAAGTAAGAAGAACAGACCTGGTGTTACTGTCACGTCATTTCCATTGACCACAGGTCTTTCTTCCTCTTCCTCCTCGGGTGGTTCAATACCTGTCTTCTCCATATTGCTCACAGACTTATTCCTCTTACGTTTGCCTTCAGCCCCAGGAGTGGCACCTGGAAGGATCTGATCAGTTACATTTACCAATAATGGAGCTGGTTCTGCTGGAGGCTTCGGTGTGCCGTAATAGTTGTCTGCAAAGATAAGAGAAAGAAAAACACACAAATTAGCAGAGGTGATTCTACTGCTTCTTTTTCTCTCCATTTAGATTTGTGGCATTTTCTGCTGTAGGATCTAGTTCATGAGATAATATGAGTTCAGAAAGTTTTCCACAAAGTTAAAAACTCAGTTTTCATGAAATAGTGTTTTTTTGATGTCAACACTAGTGAAAAAATCATGCTCACAAATATAACCATACCAACACCTCTTGAAACTTTAATGGGGTAAATTAATATTCCTCTCACCCAAATACCTAAGAAACAGGCAGTAAACCAGAGCTCTTTTCTTGTTTCAAACTACTAGTTAAGACAAATTAACATTTATGCCACAATACAAGAGTTTCTGAAGCATCAAAAGGCCCATAAACATATTGATTACTTACCAAATTACATCATTTTCATACCTCCTAAAATTATCTTACTTCGAAAGCGAATAATTATTCAATGATACAGAGATTTGCAGTTTCCAGTAATGCCTGCACTGCCTCATTTTTCATATTTGTCAAAATTTTGCTATTCATGAGCAAACCTTCTTGTAATAGTTAATGCTAATATATTTTCAAAGAAAGATGAAACCTTATGCTTTGGGGCTTAAAATTATCAGAGTACTAAGAAATTCTCAGAAGATTTAAGGTGGCTGACAGATTACTCTCTATTTGTCTCATGAAATTTCTGGCAACTTCTGAATCACCCACTTTCTGTCAGAAAGATCATTAGATTGGGTGGACTGCAGTGTGATCTTATCTATCTATATGGGTGTGCGTGCATCTTTAGCACATCTGGTCTCAAAAATTATAGCTCAAATTTGTTTGTATGGTTAAAAACAAAATATTAACATAATTAAATAAAAGAACATTGAAAATATTAGTGAATCCTTTGTGGAAGAGCATATAAAGAGTAATAAAAGACATAAAGACATACTATTTATACAAAGTTATTTTTTGTCATCTAAAAGTTGCCTTGAAGAGCAGTGCACATGCCTTACCAGTAGATTTTCCACAGTTAATAGGGGAAACTAAATATACTGCCTAGCTCTGAGATACTTTTCCAAAGGAAAAAGCACTTATCTAAGGAAGGTGCTGAAGGTATTTCTAGACCACAAACTTCAATCAAATAATAATGTAACTTACAAGAATGATTTCAACTACATTAGGGATGTAAAACAGATAGAGAAATATGTTAATCTGTGCAGTAAAGCATTGTAAGAGCTACTTTGCAGGTAGAGTAAATATTATTTCTGGCATTCCTGTATGTTCCCCCTGAATTACAGTGTTCAGCCACATGACCACTTCAATATGGGTAAGTAACTGAGCAGTCTTACAAGTACTGAATACTTTGAATTTTCACAGTGGTTTAACAAAATATTATTCATAACAGATGTTTCTGTAATTGTAAAACACTGCAGGAACTTAGTGTGTTAAACGGCCTTCATGCTCACTCTAGGCTTAGGGCTGGCATAATGAAAACCGACTTGTTGAAGATTTTTTGGTGATCTAATGAGATGGCAGCAGTTTAATATGGAACCCAGATGTCAGTGAGGAGTGAGCTGTGCCTTGACATGGCTAGTTGTTGCCTGTCCTCCCATGCTCTAGTTTATCTGAGTAAGGGAGGTAAAGAAGGGAAGTGGGACTTTGGGTCTAAAAGAGGAGGGGAAATATACAGTGATGTGCTTGCAAAACCGTATCTCTGAAAAATGCCAAAATCAGACCTGGTCACTGTCAGACCTCCAAGCTCTGATGGTCCAATTACTGTCCTGTTTGGAGTATTTTGAGAATACCTGAAAACTGGTGGTCAAAGCACAGCTAAATTGAAAACCTAGTTTTCTACTTGTGTAAGAACAATACTATCTTTATTGGTAAGAAGCACGTCTCAAACAGTACATATTTTGAAAAAAACAAGTTTGGCAAATCTAAAAAGTCCTCCGTTACCTAAACCCTTTTACCAGTCTGAAAGTCAAAGTGCTGCCATAAGCTTTAAAAAACTTGTCCACCAATTTCATAAATATCAGCTCAGAAATCTAAAGGTTATAGGTCTGATGTTATACAATCTGAAATTAAAAGTGTGGTGCCTTGGCTTTTATCCACTTGTTCTTAGTTCTGCCATTGTCAAATAAAAGCTGCTGCAGTAGTAATTAGCACTAATGCTAATATTCGGAATGGTAGATAAGAGGATTAAGAATAAAAGACATTTTAAATCAAGGGTATGCTCATTCTATTTTTGGGTATTAAACACTTCTTCATTTTGACTGACTGAATGCACGCATCACTGGGAGACAGACAAAAGTCATAACAAAAAAAGTCCATGAATATGATGTATTGCAGAATCACAGAATCGTGGTTGTTGGAAAGGAACCTTTGGAGATCATCAAGTCCAGTCCCTTGCTAAAGCAGGCTCCCAAGAAAGTAGCTTACACTGCTTCAACCTGGTGGATTTTGAATATCACTAGGGAAGACTCCACAACCTCTCTGGGCAGCCTGTCACCCTCACAGTAAAGGAGTTTGTCCTGATGTTTGTATGGAACTTCCTATGTTCCAGTTTGTGCCCTCTGTTCTGTAGCTGGGTACCACTGAAGAGCCTTGCCCCATCCACTTGACTCCTGCACATTAGGTATTTATAAGCACTGGTCCCTTCCAAGTCTTCTCTTCTCCAGGCTGGACAGTCCCAGAAACAGTGGACATTTAACATTAGAATCCAAAGTAGATTCTGTTCTTTCAGTTTCAAACTGAAAATCTAGTCCAATTTCCAACTTATGCACTCATCATAAGACTGTATATTCTATGGTCAATCAACCATTGAGTTAAAACTGAGTTTTGCACTATTATCTGTTCTATGTATATCAAACGCATTCATAAGTAGTGCCAATAAAAATAACATAGTAGACCCCATACCTTGACGTAATCAGTGTATCTTAAAAATAATGAAAAAATCCATGGAGTTCCAAAGGAAATATATATATATAGGATGAGGACTAGACATTTCAATGAAAGAACAGTACTCTATTAAAGAAAAAATACAATCTGTGTCAACTGTAACCTCCATTAAAAATATATATATATATATCTTGGCCTTGAAATTCCTCAGCTAAGACTTTGAGCTTAGCACAAGGGCTTGCTATGGACTTCCTAACCTTGTGCTAGGCAAGTTAGTGAAGACAAAACATTATAATGATGGGATTTCCTCGTACAGCCTCAGCAAATGTCGTATCTGGGCATAATGCAGAGACTAAATTTTTAAACAACATAACTTTTTGCTGCAATGGTATTTTGAAAAGCTATGATAAAAGCAGTTCTTTTATCTTGCCTGAGATAGATTCAGATTGATATTGTTGAAATACTGATAATAAGGCACTGCAGTTCAGCTTCCTGCATGTACAAAAAGCACACCAAAGAAATAATTTCAATTGTGTTCAATTTAAAAAAGCCAACAAATTAATAAAAAATAAATAAATAAAGCTTACTGAAAGAGAAAACAGATGTTATGCTTATTGGTAGTCAAAGAACCATACGTGTAGAAGCTTAGGAAAAAGGAATGGAGCACAAAAGAGAAAACACCTTTCCAACATTACGCAAAACCCTATAGTACCCTCCCTTTTGAATGCTGCCTGCTGTTCCTATCCTTGCCTCTCAGAAATTACATGGGGGAACTAAAGAAGGGCAATTAAAGCTTGGAACTGCTTAAATTGATTTGGAGCTTTCAGCTTGGAAAACGGACAATGAAGGGGGATATGGCAGATATGTATAAAATCAGGAGAAACCTGGGAAAGTGCCTAGAAAATAAATGAATGGATGCCTGGCTTCTCACTGCATGGGAACAAGAGGATGCCCAATGAAATTAACAGATTTAAAATGAGCAAAAGAAATTTTTTTTTTTCATAGTATGAGAAAACAGTGGCATTCACTGCCAGGTGCAGCCAGTATCACAGAATCAGTCAAAAAGCAACAATACAAGGACAAAGAAGAAAGAATTGTACAAACCTATTAAATGTAATAAGAAACTCAGGATCAAGTGTTCCATACAATAGAGACTGCTGGAGAGGAGATGTATCTCTGCATGCCCTCCCTGTTCTTATATTACTGGCTTTAACATTTACTAAGGGGCTGTAGGAGAGACGGGTGCAGGGTACAGTTCCCTTTGGTTTGGCTCAGTATTGCTGCTCTCTTCCTCAGGTGTCTCCTGGCTGCACTCAGAAAATGTGTGCATGCTCCCTGCCACCCCAGCACAAAGTCAGGAGGTCAGCTGAAGCCAGCAGCACTAAAGCTAAGCTCTTTGCATGAGACCTAGCTAAAAGCCTTCACGCAGACAGGCAGTGCAGAGCGAGTATTTAATTGCAGAAATGCCACCCTGCTTAATCTATCTCACTGCTGTGCCTGCTTGTCTCAGTGCTCCTATTTCCAAGTGCAGCTGAACGCTGGAGATGGTCTAACCTAACCTGCCTGACTTTGCTGCTGAAATGGCCTGGAAGCCACAGTTACAGTTCCCGAGTGTTCCCTGCCACTCCTAAGCTGTATGAAAAGGTCTCCCTGATTCTGCAAGGAGTCAGATAAAATTACTGGGGAGGTTTGCCCTGGTGACAGAGAACAGATCAGGAAATCAAGAGGGGCACAAAAGACAGAAAATGAAGAGACTAACACAGCTGTATTTTTTCTTAAACTGAGCTCTGCTATCTCAGGAAGTAGTACAACTTTTATCGATAAAGTATTTGATGATGAAGGAATAGATCTGAACTTGTTTCCTCCGAAATGGTAAGCCCTTTGGGAAAGAAAAAATGTTTTTGGTGGGAGTACAGAAGCAGAAGAGTCATCACACTTAAGAGATAACACAGCTCAGATCTAGTGATGTTCCCTATACTGATGTGAAAGCACCAAATATGTGGCACAGGGTGGGACATTCCACTTTCATTCCTCCTGCAGGGAGCAAAAGAAGCGAAGTGAGGGGAAGGAGGGCTTTTTGCCAGATCTGAATCTCCATCTTCATAG